GAAGAAAGTGATTCAAAGCACGTTGTACTGCCAGAAGCTTCAGGATGTTGATATGGTAAGACCTCTTGGCCGTAGACTGTTGTCCGCAAGCCTCCTGCTGATCGACTCATTCTCCCAACTGTGGAGGGAAGCATCTATGAAGAGATGCAAATCCATCATTCTTTAATAACTAGCCAAGTAGTTGTATTATTTAACTAATTCTAATCAGCATAGGAGAAATGGCTGAAGGTTTATATAAACATAGAAAGTCGAATATTTTTGTATATATTTTTGCACTTCAATTGAAATATAGTACATTTTTATTTATTTAAACACATAATCAGACTTTCAGTTTCTTATTGTTTACCAATGCATTTTAACTTAAGAGATCTATATTACACTGTAATACAAACTAACACAAGTAAGATATGGCAGGCTAAGATAATGATACAGCACAGCTCTGTTATATCATACGAACTGCAACACTTATGCATGTTTTCCATCCTCAGAGTTTTAATTTCAGTCTTCAAATTAACAGGTCCTCACATTTAAGTCATTCATTAACATAAATTGTAACATTGCATGCTTCATTTTGTTTATACTTTTTTTCTATTCAGTTACAATTTTTGCTTCTACCAGTTTTAGATGTAAATTTTAAAAAGTGGAATTCATAAGCCTTAAGCATGTTAAATATATATTTTTATCAAGTGAAAGTAACAATGCAGTTGCTAAGTACATAAAATGCCTTGTTTCAATCTTTTTTTATTAATAGGTTTAAGTACAAAGAAAGAGTACAAAGTAAAATTTATGTTTAACAGACTTGGAAGATGTCCTTCTAAAAGTCTTGTTACAGATAAATAGACATACAGATAAAATGGATTTTGGAAAATTACTGAAGCATAAGATTTAAAGTCTCACATTTATTAAAAAGGTTTTAACTTATACTAAAATCTGCAAAAGAAATAAAAAAGGCCTTTTCATAAAAAAAATCACTTATTATTTCTGAAACATTAAATCATAACCCATTATAAATTTTAAATAAAACAAACTATGTAATTAATCATTCAAGTCTTAATATATTGTATTTGATATTTCTCAACATTTTAATAATCAGTTTTGTAAAAAATTACAAAGTAGATAAACTTGCCAGTTGTTAAAAACAGTTTGTGACAAAAATAATTTCTTTGCTACTGTGTATAGATGATTAAATATATTTTTCTTTATAAAAGCTATTTTATAGCTCTTAAAAACATTTGTAAGATTTGCAAACTAAAAGATATAAAATCAAACTCAAAAATTGTTTACCACAATGAATAGTGACAAAAACACAGGAAACCAATAATATGGAATGCACAAAGTAAAAACAATAAGATGTAAAATTTGAATCTTGATAAAAATTAAAATTTTTGGCACTTAACATATTGACAGTAATGTAGTTTCATAATCTGTAACTATAGTCAGACAAATATTGAGGAACTGAAATGTTTAGAAATTGAGGTTATTTTGCTTGTCTGTTTTTACATCATCATGGATGTGTCTCAAAACAAGAACTATGTTGTAACACAAATGTCAATCAAGTATAGGGTAGAGCAGGAAGAACTGGGACATCTGCCCTAATTCTCAGGTTTATTAACCAATTAAAAAAAAAGATAATATGATTGTGCAGGCTTCTAGGTCATCCATTTTACAAGAAGAAATGTGGTAATCACATGCTTAAAATAAGTTTTGCAATCAAAACATTATTATTCACCTGTTAAAAGTCAATTTTATGGATGTATACTATGTCTTCTTGTGACTAAGATAACAGAGTGACTACTGGTATCTATTAGCAAAGCTAGGTACATATCAAACATTGGTAAAACACCTGCATCTTTAATGAATTACTTGCAAGTTAAAAATACTGCTAAACATTTTGTGGCAGATTATAGTTGGGGGTGTCCCAGTTCTCCCTAGTACCATTTATTCATTGTTTCAGAAAAGCTTGAAAATGCCAAGATATCATAAAAGAAAAACTGGCAAGGGACTTGTGCCACATACCATGCTAGAATCATTGAGAGCTGTTCAAAAAGGCAAATGAATACAACAAGTAGCAAAAGATAAAGGAGTATCAAAAAGTGTACTTGTAAGATATGTCAAAAAATACAATAGTAATCCAAATATCATACTGGCACCTAATTACACTCAGTCAAGTGTTCAATGAAAATGAAGAAAAAAACATTGCAGAATACCTAACAACTGCATCAAAGATGTTTCATGGTCTTTCTCCTATCCAAGGGAGACAACTAGCTGTGAAGAACAAATTTAGAATCCCAAAAAACTAGAATGAGACAAAGATGGCCGGAAAGGATTCGTTTACTAGCTTTAAGTACAAACATTTAACTATCTCAATCCATTCTCTTGATGCAACATCATTGATGTGTGCATCTGCTTTCAGTAGACATACAGTGAATGAATTCTTCAATCTTTTGGAAATGATTATAAATGACAAGAACATTGTTGGAAGAAGAATATATAATCTGGATGAATCTAGAATTACTACAGTGCAGAAGGTTCCAAAGGTTGTAAGCAGTAAAGGCCAGAAACAAGTGGGCCAAGTGACATCGCATGAACGAGGTGAACTTGTGACAGTTTGTGCCATCATTTCTGCAACTGGAATAGCACTGCCCCCAGCTCTGATATTCCCTAGGAAAAATTACAAAGACATTTTCCTCACTGGAGCTTCTGAAGATTCCTTAGTATTGGTGTCTGAGTCTGGTTGGATGAACAGTGACCTATTCATGAAAGTCATGGAACATTTTGTTAAACACAGTCATTCTTCCAAGGAAAATCCTGACATTCTAGTCAATGATAACTATGAAAGCCACCTGTCTGTTGGTGCTCTGGAGTATGCAAAGGACCATGGAGTACATGTTATCACACTGCCTCCACACACACAAGTCATAGAACCCAGCCACTAGATCAGTCTGTTTTGGGCCCAATGAAGACCTACTTTAATGCTGAGGCAAACAGCTAGATGACAAGAAACCCTGGCAAATGCATTACAGTATGTCAAATGGCACAGCTGATTGTTGTTGCATGGATAAAAGCTGCTATTCCAGCCAACATTACTGCTGGCTTCAAAGCTTCTGGGATTTGGCCATATTATAGACATGTCTTTTCTGATGTCGATTTTTTTAATCACCTATCACTCATCAATGTTCCAGTAACAATATTAAAGATGTGGCAGAACCAGGTCTACCTGTGACAGCAAATGTTACATCATTACCAGTGAATGTGATGAGTGATCAATCATCACCAGGTCCTAGTCAAGCAGATCCACACAATGATGAAGTTCATCCACAAACCTTCTCATCTGCTCAGTCAGACCCAGATCCCAGTTGTGCAGATCTTCATAATGATGAAGTCCATGCACAAATGTCTTTATCTGTATAGTCAGACTCCACTTTAGGTTCTGCTGCCTTCATTACACCTGAACAAGTATGGGAATTGCTAAAGGTAACGTGTTGCTATTTATTTAACAGTTTGAATCTGATTTCACAAAAGAAAATCCAAAATTGTTTCAGTAGTATTTCATGTATTGGTAAATTTTGCAGGTTGTTCAGAGAACTTCTTTATCCAATTTTGATCAAGAAAGAGGAATGACAATGATAGCTACATTAATACCAGAAATGAAACGCACAAAGGATGAAGCCCAATCTAGAGCAGCAAAAAAAGGCAAGACATTGCTTGACTAAGAACCCTAGGAGTCAGTTGGCAATAGAGCCAAGGAAAGCCAGTTTATCTTCTGATGATGATTATGACAGTATCTCTTTTATGGATAGTGATGTTATGCCAGATAACAGTGACAGGGAGACAGAACAAACAGCAAGCTTACAGTTAGGAAATGTTGATTACAACAACATTAAGATCCACAATTATGTGTTGGTTGAAATGGAAACACAGAAAAAGGGTAAAACCAGCTTATTACACGAGTGAAGTGCTTTCTGAATTTAATGAAGATGGTGCCTGTCAGGCAGAATTCTTAAGAAAACATCAAAAGGTAGCAAATACGTTTTAAAACCTAGAGCTCAAGATAAGCTAACAGTCAGGAAAGACCAGATCAAACTAGTCATGCCAAAACCAGTGGCCAAAGGTACAACTGCCTGTACACAAAATGAACTGAACTTTCAAGTCAGTTTTGGAAACATTGATGTTTGTTGAAAGTAAGAAAAGTTGTTGCAGTTGACAAACATCCTGACAAAGTTATTTTTATTGAAATGGTTAATGATAGCAAAATATAATATTAAGATTTTATTGCAGCTACATGTTTTTTTAACAGACAATGTTAAGTTAGATATGGCTAAGCTAAGGAGACTGTTGGTCATTTTGTGTAACAGACATTGCCTTGGACTATTTACTCAGACTTCTGTTTAATAATTTTCCCTGTATGTTCTATCATGCTACCATATTACTGAAAAGCATTATTTAATATGTTAAGTCAAGTGTAACAAAATGCCAAATGTGCTTATCCATTTGTTTTATATTCAGTTGTTCCCTAAATTTTAATTTAGCTAATGTTGCTCAATAAACTTCTTTATTGTGATATGTCTCATGCCAAACCTGTTTACATTTGCCTAATGGCATAATTACATGAGAAATACTTGTTCCTTTCAAAAAATATGCCTTTAGAAATAAACAGCCAATTCTGAAATAATTACATGTACCTGGATATAGAGTAATTATATTTCATGAAATATTTTTTGTTAATGTTCCATTTCTCCCAAAGCAATGTCCCAGTTCACCCCAAAACTAAGCACCTTGCAAACTATGTAATAATTCCAAAAAGAAATATAATATAATAGTAATGACCATTTGCCTAATTTTAGGATTGCCTAAACTATTCAATTCAAGTTAAAACCATTGGTCACCTTTGACAATTGTATCATGACAAAGCCAAAGGTAGCAGATGATATATCGTGTCCCAGTTCTCCCCTACTGTTTATTCTAAAAACTTATTCATACACTATACTTCTGTTAGGAGATAACATGTAATGCTATTCTATTGTGTAAGTAAATGCTAGAAGTATATTTAATAAATAGGAAACAGGGTCACTTATTTCTATGAAAGCCAAATACAAGTTGGGGATACTAGTTCATTGTCGAAACACACTGTGGTACAGTCTATAAACCAGTCCATTTCTTAATGACATATATTTCATACGTCAGTGATGAATGATATAATTTAGTAGGAGAGAAATAACAATGGACAGTTCATTGTAAGATACGAGAAAGATGGAAATACAGATATGTATTTACTTAAGATACAATATTTTTCCAAATCTTTGGTATTTTAGTGACTTGTAAATATAATGTGTGTGTGCAAACTTTTTAAATTATTAGAGATGCAAAACTTTCACCGTATCATTTTCAGTCTTTTCAGGAATTTTGTATAAGGACGTTATCAACCTTTGAGTTATTTTTTCTTTGCAAACTAACCTCAGATAGATAAAGCACTTCAGGAGTTGATTAAAAAACAAAAACAAGAAACACTAAAAAAGCACATATTAGCATTAACAAGTTTATGATTAACAATTCAGATAAAAGACCCTAGCACCAGAAGAAGGAAAACTTTGATGTTGGCACATATATGTTTGTTAAAAATGCAATTACTAAAATAGAACAATCACTGATATAACAATTACTTTGTTTACCTTTGAAGTTTAAGTCCATGGCTTTAAATTACAACTTGGAACTTTTGATTTTATGCTATATTTTTAATGCAATAGCTTTCTAAAAATTCCAAGTGTATGTGAAGTCAATTCTAATGACTAGCCAATGGGAAAACATACAAAGTTTGAATGACACAACTAAAGTTTCCAGGTGTGTCTCATCATCAGGTCAAAATAGGCATCTGTGTCAATAGATGCACTCACTCCAGAATAGTAGTTCACGAACTCTTCAAAAGTAACCTAGAAAGAGAGATATTTTATGCTTAAATAATCAGTAATAACAGAAAACCTGAATAAATTCCAGAATTACTTCCAATAAGAGATCAACAGTACTAAAACAATTCTTTACACATATAGTGAACTTTTTCTTCATTAAAGTGGTTAACTATATAAAAATGGCACACTGTTCTATATATATATAAAAAACTGGAATATCAAACTTTTTTCACTTTTTTCATTGATTTCTTCTACCTGTTTTGTGACTTCAAAGGTCACTCTTCAGGAAATAGATTTAGTGAAAATAAATAAAAAAACATACAAATACCACTTTTCAACTACACATAAATAATCTAAATTAAATATATAATACAGTTCTTGTATAAATTAAGTACATTACAAAAATAAATAAATTTAGTCAATATACTTTTCTTTTAAAATTAAAAGCTTATTCTAATTATATTTTTTTCTTATTATTATAATAGAAATGTAACTGATTTATCCTATAATTTCATACTTTTTCTTTTCTGTAAGTCTTAGTAACTGTTTTCATGGTTTCCCAATTCTTACTGCCTTTACACAACCAATTACTTCTGCCCTCTTACTACTACCTATTTAAAGTGGTGCTAAAAAAATTTATAAAATATTTTTTAAAAATAATCTTTTATGTTTTACATTACATTTCTAAAAAGGGGAAGTATGAAAATATGGTTCTTTTAGAATTTTCTCTAGATACATTTATTAAAAGGTTTACTGGCATATAGTGGGTTTTTTTTGGAACATCCACCATGGAATTTATGTATTTTTATCCTTAATCTTAAATTATCTGTTTTACCAATATCTAATTCACCACAGTTTACACATTTTAAAAGGTATATGTTTTTAAAATTGCAATTAAATGAGTTATTATAAAAAAACAAGATTTCTTTATTGTTTTCGTTGTTTTTATTCAACCTAAATTACATAAAGCACAGTTCTTTCTGTTACAAAAGAAACCTTTAGAAAAATCTTTTTTTTTAGGTTTATTCAATAATCTATACAGATTTTTAGGTTGTCTTCTTAATAAAATAATTTTATTATTTTTGAATACATCTTTCAATGTTTTATCTACTATTTGTTTTAATTGTGTATTAACAAATGAAATATCAATATGTATATTTGGACAATAAGTCACAACAAAAGGTATACCATTCTCTTTAGGTTCATTAATGTCTCTATTTAAATGTTTTCTATCAAAAAAGTTATTCTTAGCAATTCCAAAACCTCTTGATATAATTCCCTGGATAGTGATACTGAACTAAAAATTTGTTTAGTTCTAGTAATCTATTACCACTCGTTTCTTCATTGGAAACTAAATGATAAAATCTACTTGCAAGATTTGCAGGAATATTTAATTTTATATTTGGGATGATTCCTAAAAAAAACTACATATAGATGTAAGTTTGTGGGTTTATAAAGAATATCAGTTACAATTTCCTTTTGTGGTGAAAACACCAAAACATCTAAAAATGACAAGCTTTTATTATTTCTTTTGAAGGTAAACTTAATTTTCTTGTTTATTTAACCTAAAATTCCAACATATTTATTAATATCTTGAGTATCTTTCCATATGACAGAACAAATGTCTAAAAATCTTTTCCAAAAAGTTTTTATGTGAGCTACAAAATTATCTTCAAAATAATTAGGTAGTATATTAAATAATTGTAATTTGAAAAATCCCATAGTGATGTTAGCATAAGTTGCAGCGATGTTTGCCAATTGCTGTACCAGATATTTAGGCCCCACTTAAAATAGATAGTAGTAAGAAGGCAGAAGTAATTGGTTGTGTAAAGTCAGTAAGAATTGGGAAACTTTAAAAACAGTTACTAAGACTTATAGAAAAGAAAAAGTAAGTAAAAGTATGAAATTATAGGATAAATCAATTGCATTTCTATTATAATAATAAGAAAAATCATAATTAGAATAAGCTTTTAATTTTATAAGAAAGTATATTGACTAATTTTATTTAGTTTTGAACATTTGTAATAGTACTTTATTTATACATGA